TACCGCATACATTACATAAACTAAACTCAGTGGCGTAACAGCCCTAACGGGCCAAGGCCTGCAGTGCCCAAAATCTGCTTTCTTGACCGTGGGCCCCCGGGCTGCGTAAGCATATGCCCTGAACAAGTGGTCAGCTTGTAGCAGGACCCCCAGGCGTACATTACATACTGCATACAAAATATAGAGCAGTCAAATTTAAATTAAACGTTGAATAATAGTCAATGAATACATAATTTAACACTATATTAGAAGCTGGCTCGATAGCTTTACGGGCGCATCAGATTTAAAATATCGGCAGCGAGGGAGCGCGAAGCCGATTAATTGAAACACAAATTGTTGCCACAAATATTAGAGCTCTGCATTATATTTAAAGAAATTAAATAATGAAGAATCTTCATTAATATATGTCTTTTTCTCGCATCGTGAAAGAACAACAGTACCTGAAAGACATCAAATTTTGAATAACGTAGTCCTCCACTCAAATGTGGGGGCATTTGAAAGCCCAAATTTGGAATTTGTTTTATTACCTATTTCATATTTTGCAAAATTTTAAAGAATTTTTGATTAACAAACTCAACGATTTCAAAGCAAGGAATGATAACACTCTGCGGAAAAGAAATTTTCCCCAGGGCGCGAGGCTATGTATCTGATATTCTAAAGATATGCTATTATTAAATATTTTGTGATACTGCTGTTGAATTGAATTTTACGGCTTAAGTGCGAAGACCATGATATGTAATAAATAAAGGTAACACATGAAACGTTAAAAAAAAAAAAAAAAAAAACCTATTGGGAGGAATATAAAATCTAAAAGCTTTCAGCTTTCTTTTTCTTTATGTCCCCCCCGTTACTTTCTAATTTTACAATATAGTCTTTTAGAATTAATTTTCTACCCTTCGCCTTGCAGGCAAATTGCTGGCATTTAATATATATATATATATATATATTATTTAAAGAAAATGTTTCAGAATGCAGCTGTACAATTTAATTTAGCAGCAGAGGTTGATAAACTCTTTTTTTCGTTATGGAACTAAACCTGAGGGACTTAGGCATACAGTGACTCAAATTTGTTTTCGGACACTTGTAATAAAATTTTTTTAAAATTTATTTACATATATCTTGTGCTAAATCTTGAAACATAAACTCGAAATATTTTCCTAATACATTATTTTCTCTCTGTTTTAAGAATTGGTTGTTGCAAAATATAAGTATTATCAAAATATTTCTTATAATAAAATAGTTTGTTCAAAACGTAGTAATTGGTAATTCACATAATTCGGAAATTCGAAACATTAGTTGAGATAATGCTTTTTGTCTTAATACATAGCAAAAATTATTTATTTCGAAAATTTTATAAAAGTTCCGGATCTGAAGTGAACATGAGAACACACTCTAAACTAACACTATATAATTCTATTAGAAAATTAACTATTAATCATTTTTAATGTGTTAGCAGTACTCGGAACTCTAAATAATCCTTGATGTAAATCGTTCAACTATCTTTGATGTCATAAAATAATGAAAAATTGCGTGGAACTGTTGCAAATGTTTTTAAGTCTGAACCACATTCCAATTAGTAATGAAAGAGTAAAAAAACCAACGAAAAATCGAACAAAACTCAAATATTAATGCTGTGAAACAACGGCGTCAAAAGAACAGTTTGCATAAAAGTTAACCTTGAAACCAATACAAGGATGATTGGATGCAATGGACGATCAGCAAGAAGGAAATTTTTCATCAAGAAAATAAGGAAAACGCCTCTGGAATTCGCAAAGTCTGTGGTAAGCAAAGACTTATCATATTAAACAATGTTATACTCGCAATTTGACTCATTTAGGTCCGATGGCTGTGTAGAAAAAAATCATTAGGTTATATGGATATAGGAACTTGAAAAATGTGCAATGCCCTCGTCGGGATTCGAACTCCGAATTCGGGTACACGAGTCGAGTGTGTTTTCAGTTACACCACAAATGCATGCCGAAAGGAGAGAGAAAATGCCTTATATACTCCCCCTTTTAAAAACAATTGGGTATTAGGAGATCCAATTCCCCGAATTAAAAAGGTGGTGAAATTATCGTCCACCATCTTTTTAATTCGGGCACAACTGTAGAGTCATTAAGTTATATCAATGCAGGAACGTAAAAAATATATCGGGATTCGAACTCCGGTCCTTTCGAATACGTGTCGAACTTGCTTCCAGTTACACTACGAAGGATGCGAGAGGATTGAGCATAGCTATGTGGCGAAAGCTGAATAAAAAACTGAATTCGAAACCAATTATTTACTGTTTGGAGGTATAAAAGTTTGAGGATGTGTCACTGTCTCTAGGACTCTAGAGTAAGAAATATAGTTTATATAGAAAATAATATGGATGAGTATAAATGCAGTATTCTTAATGGAAATCTGAAAGCATGTGTAAGAAATTTGATATGCAAAATACATTCAAGTTCTATCAGGATAACATTTAAGTTCTATCAGGATGCTAAAAATGCAGCCCTAAATGTTCGCTACTGGTTATTATGCAACTATCCTGAAATTGCCAAAATTTCTTTATTGTCAAAATTTCCGAACTTAAGTCTTATCGTACATATACGGAGTGAATTGGAGAAAGAAGAGGAAAACATGATATTTTTTCGAAAGCTCTATTAAAAGCAATTTTTACGAAGGATTAGTACTTAACAGAATATTCTTAAGCGAAAATTGTAAGTTGAATCCATGCAAAGGGCGGGAATTTTTAGCTAAAGGATATCCAGAAAAATATCAAGAATAATGAGTGTCCGGTTATTTTAATTTTTTTTTAATTAAAAATAAGCTGTTTGTTCAAAGTGCCTGAATCAGAACATTTTGAATGAATTACTTTTATTTTACTCAAAACGCTTTAAATATTTTTTTCTAAAACAGGAGCAGATTTTAAAAACGATGATCAATAGTGTATCAGAAAAAATGTAAGTTATTTTGATAATATTTAGTAATCGATATTTGCAAATAAACTTGGAATGCACAACTATTCGAAAACAAATGTGAGCCGTTTGTAGCTGTGGCAAATACTGTAAAATGAAATAAAAAGTTCAACGAACGATAGTTTGCAAAATCTTGAATTCCAACATTTCAGGTATTAAAATGTCAAACTAGCATTCTGTCAAATAAATCCTGGATAGTCTGAAACCACTATTTTACATTTAACATCTTATTATTAAATTCCTACTATTAGCTCACACTCTCCCTATATCTTGTTCAAATTTTCAGTCGTTAATAAAATACTTTTTATTCAGCCACTCAAGTTCAAATACATTTTTTAAACTTGCAGTGGACGACACTTGATGTTAATACAGTTTTTTCACCTATTAAAGTCAATTTATAAAAAAAGAATGTTAGTGTCTCAAAAAATGCTAATAATGTTACTAAAAAGTAACTAAAATAAAATTTTTCTTTGTTGACCTAAGTAAGAATTGACTTAATTTTTTTTTATATTACTTGTTTTTCACTTCTGCTAGCAGTGAGAATTAACTATTAGCATTATTTTAATTTGCAACTGAATTATTTTACAAAAAATTGCAGGATGTATTAGAATGCTTTCATTTCATAGAATGTTTGAAGTAGCAAAATACGTTATTCAGAATACAGATAAGAGATATTCCGATCTAAGGAACACAGATTATAGGATAATCAAAAAGAAAGTTATATTTATTATACAGTAACTATGTAAGAGAACAGACAACTCACTACAGTACCTTTAAATCTTCCGGTATAACTCATTTTCACTTGCTGAGAATGCTTTTTAAAGTCAGGTTAGATATATATGAATAAGAAAAATTCTCTCAAATTGACACATTCTTTGTAAATATTCTAAATGCAGCAGACGATAAGTTTTATGCAATGGTTGTTGCCATCTCTTTTAAATTATTACTAGATTATAAGCTTTAAATATGGCAAAAATCTATCAAATATATCTCTTTTGCTTTTGTTTGGCGAAAATTTACTAAGTTGTTAGGATTACAGAAGGCCTCAGGTAATAAACGAACTTGGATATTTGAAGAACTTTTCAAGAATTTTAAAACGGGCTTTGTATAAAGAATGGCCTTTGTATAAGATCTTTATATATTGGAAACATTCTACGTGAAAGCTAAGTTTTCTAAACACCACCTTTTGATGTAAACTAAATAAACATGTTTTTCTCTAAAAAAAACACGAAATTCTTTACAGAATATTTCAAGATATTTTAATGAAGCACTAGGCCATACTTATCATCAAATAGGTTTGATTTTCAGAAAATAATTATATGAAAAAATGGCTGCATTACATTTAGACTAATGCACTGTGCTTCAAAAAATAACAAGGCATTAAAAATATTTGAAGCAATAATTATAAACTTACTTTTATGTTGCAGCTTTACCAAAGAAATTATGAGATTTGGCTTTAGAATTAGTTCCTAGCAGATCCGGTCATAAATAGTACTAATATTCGCATTTTAAAAAAATATGAGCAGGTTCTAAAATTATGAGTAATTTTACTTACATGAAAATCGTTTAATTCCACATTCAGTAACCTTAATTTAGCTTCTAAATATTTGCTTGAAATCGTAAATCGGTTTCTGCAATTTGTTTGGATCTGTTTGACGCAGATAACTTATTTATATCTTCAATCATGCAAGCTATCTAAATTTCATCATCAAGCTATCTAATTTTCACACAAGCTATCTAAATTTCATCAAAAGGTCTTTATTTTTATTCAAAAAATGTTTGTAAAGAAGGAAAAAAAAAAAAAAAAAAAAAAAAACCAATGTGGACAGCTAAAATCGCAAAAATCATACAGTATCCAAATCTCTTGCATTGTTCAAATTTGATTAAATTTTCGTGACTCCAATAAAGGTAACCTATTTTTAAATTGTATTAAGTGTATGTTATGTACTTCTCCAGTAAAATATTATCCTCCGTATGGTTGCCGGCCTCAAAGCTATCATTTTAGCCCTACTTGTTGGTATTATTTATAATTATGCTCGAATTTGGCAACCGTGTTCTTAGGTAAAATAAATAGTGCGTAATTGTGAGGAATGAAATGCAAAATTAAAGATTTATGTCATTAAACTCGCGTTGTTTTCACTGTCATGTTTTTGAAGTTGTGTTTATGGTATTCTTTGTGATACGAAAGATGTAAGTACTTTTAATTATAGCATCATATATGTGTATGTGTGCATTCAATAAATACTTGATCATTGTTCAAAAAATGTCATATTTTCATGTTTTGTGTGTAAAAAATTGTAAGGAGAATATTGATACCAGAGTATCATGAAATATTTATTGCTCGAGCTATGATTTAATTTATTTAAATGAAAAATTTGGGTCTTCAGTTCATTTTTCAATTAAAGATTTAGCGGCATAGTTTTCACTAGAAACCCGCTTCAGTGTAGTAGTAGAATGTGTTACATCTAGTATTTTTGTAAAGAGATATTTTTATCGAATTTGTATCTTGTGTTTATTACTATATTCTAAATCGGTGGAATCAGAAGGTGATTAAAAATCAGCAAATTCGTTATATGTTTTACGTTATAATGAATTCCCCAAACTAATGATTTCGTGACAAATGTGCTTAACACATAATATGCCCTTGGGGAATACAGAGAGTAAATATGATGACCCGTTGTGTAAATAGGCATCTAATTAATAGTGAATGTAGCCTGCTGAGTGTTTCGCAGTGGTATGCGATATTGTTGGCAATTTATCAATAATCTTGAAGCCATTTTAAGAAATTTTTTTAATTTAACAGTCCATAATCAGTTGGATGAAATACCTTCTGTCCAGTTAGCAACATAATTGTGCTCTGCAACTTCCTTTGTACTGTGCAATTTCCAGTTAGAAATGCTGTTTCATTCTTTACATCTTTTGAGCCATCCATGAGTTGGAACGAATCTTACTGAACATTTTATTGAACTTCCCAGGTTTTGCCATCAAAGAGCTTTTGAAATACAGTTTTGGGCTCTAATGTAGAATTGGGTGCCCCTTCGTTTAGCGACAAATTTTGTTACATTTTGGCGATGAAGCTTCATTTCTGGTTACCATGATAGTTTTTAATTTGTTTTAGCTTCCTGATTTTTTTAAAAAATGAAAATAGATTGATGTATACATGGACAAAGTTAAGGCAGTGCGCAATGCCTAGTTTGTGCAATTCTCTGATTTTTTTTTTTAAGTGGAAATAGATCGATGTGTACATGGACACAAGTTTGTGCAATTCTTTGACTTCTTATTTTGGTTTTGTGTAGGGGCCATCCTTGAAATTGTGCCTTCCTGGCGCCGATCTTGGCGTCAAAAAAGAATCGCCAAGAAACAAGGGGCACCCAATTGTAAACTTTTACCAAAATTTATCATTGATAACACAAGCGTTATAAATGCTTAAAAAACAGTGTGTTCAGAAAGTTTGCATTGTCAGTGAATAAAAGGGAAAGTAATTGCTAGGACTTTTCGTACGACTTTTTTCTGATTAAAATGTTTTACAAATGTTATTTGAATATTACAAAGCTCATAAAGGTTATATGTCTTAAGGGGAAGGTGTCTTCATGGAGGCCTTTTTAATAAAAACTTGTTTGTCTTTATATTACATAGGAAGAAAAATTTTTAGAAAAATGTAACCACTTGGCTGTGGTGAAGCCAGTGTATATAAAAGCGATGAAATAAGTGGTAACTAACTGTGCCAATCAGTGCCAGTCATATTTGTCAGTTTCTTTCATATTTTATGTTATTCCTTTTTCTGTTTTGTCAACCAGTCTTGTATAAAATAATTGGTAACCAAACATAATTTCAATATTGAGTGAATTATCAAGGAAATTCTAAAGTAAAATACAGTGCATTAAAAATGTTACATTTTGGTTATATAGTTATCAGTATGTATATTTGAAATAAATAATGCAATATTATCCTGACCTTTTTCTTTGCTGTCAGTTAGTTTTATAACATTAAAATAACACAGTGGTAATTGTAAGACCATTGAAATTGTGTAAATGGTCGTAGATATTGAAGAGTGAAGACGAGGTTAAAGCTTTATTAAAGGGCATGCATAAGGAAAAAGGTTGGAAACCACTGTCTTAAAATTAAACCGTTAATGAATAGTATTTTCACTCGTTTTTGATTTTCAATACATTTTACAATAGCTTGAGACTTTTGCATATTTTATTAACTCTTCAGGTCAACTCTTTCGCTGTACGGGAGGAGGAGCATCCTCCTCCTCCTTGTGCGGCTCCTCCTCCCGCTGCTCCTTCTCCTGCTGCTCTTACTAAAAGCATCATAATCTTTTAATAAACATATCTTTTGCTTTCTGGCCTAAAGCTTTGTGGATACATGTCTTCCGTAGCAGCTGTGGTGATAATTTTGATTTTGCATCTTTCTTCATTGGCAAGAAAGATACACTTCTCAAAAAAAAAAAAAAAAAAAAAAAAAAAATGGGAGAGTTCTATGTTTTGTGTTCTACTGGGCCGATTGACGAAATTCAAAATGCATTTTTCTTGTCTCAAAAACACATCTTAGGATATATATTAAATTTATATATAGCATTATTCTAACATAGTTATTTTGACACAAAATCGGACTTTTTCTGAAATAACATACCAATTGTTTTACATACAGTCAAAATTCGTTAATTCGAACACCCATAATCCGGACCTCAAAGCTACAAACTTTCTGCGCATGCGTCGCTTTTACGGCTGCGAATGTGTGTGTGCGCATGCATGTTTAATATATAACGGACGGTATAAGCTAAGCTAAGATAAAATTATCTAATTCAGTTGCAGATTAATGTTGCAGATTGCGTTGTTCCTGAATCTTCGAATTGGATCCGGCTTGTTATTTTTTGCAAACTGTTAGAGCGATTTTATAAAAGCAAGCTTGAACTTTCGATTATGTCAAATAGAATTTCCGATATATGTTTACTAATATGTAAAGGATCTACAAAGCAAAAGTATGTTTAGAAGTCCATTAAACAAAAAGTGGAATTGCTGCAAAAAATGGATAAAGGCATATCCTTCGTTTCTCAAACCATTCCCAAATCTGTTTATCAATTTCACGCTGCTCTGCGGCCCGGGGTGGGGGAAACGCTGAAACGCCACGGCGTGCAATGAATTGGAAGTTAATCTGTCAGCACTATCCTTATCTTCAAGGCAGATGTTTTTATTTTATTTCACTTATAATTCCTTACTAAATGTAGTATTTCATCTCGATGTACTCCGTCTTTGATATGATTTAAATCAAATTTCTCGTCATCATAATTCGCTTCCGATAAAGAAGAAAGTGACACAGAGGTTATTGAAAACGAAAAAATTTCGATTGACAAATTAGTCGGTATTCTCGACACAGCAATTATAATACTTTAACAGCGGAACTTTGTAACTGAAGAAGAAATTATGTCTGTTTATAGAATTAAAGAGAAAGTTTTATCACATAAAACGAAGCAACTTAAACAACTTACATTGAAAGGAATGTTTAATAAAGTAAACAAATAAATATTAAGCTTTTTTTTTTTTTTTTTTTTTTGTAAATTTTGATACCCTTTAGGTCATAATTGTTCTTTATTTCATAAATTACGGTTTCATATTTTTAATTTTATAATTTCTACATGCCATCTTACCAGATTTAAACTGATGATCTATAATCCGGAATTGCCGAAGTCCCGACGAGTCCGGATTAATGACTTTTGACTGTATTTCGATTGTATGACTCAAATAATGCCAAATTGCAAAATTTTGTAAAAATTGTTTATGTAGTTTTTAAAACATTATCTCTCAAAATTTTAGCTTCTCGATGTTTATTAAATTTCATATATATTTAATAATCTCTCTTTTTTTTTTAATTAAACTAACTTGATTCCATCTTCCAGAGTTCAAAATTTAGGTTTAATCCAAATATAATTCACCCATTTTTTTATGATTTATTTTTAAATATTTTTTACAAATTTTTCAAAATATTTTTATAGGTTATAAAATTTTTAACATTATAAAGTTGATATATTTCTAGGCACACCTGCAAAAAATTAGAGTTTTTTATTCAAAATTAAAGTTGATTATTCAAAATTGCTAAGGTATACATGAATTTACATATTGGACCATTTTGAAATTTAGCGTCTTTTTTTTTTTTAGCAATGATAATACCAAATTGGTTTTATGGACTTTATTAAAATTATTTGAAAGTATGAATAATGAATCTTCCCACTCATCTGCAATGAGAAAAAGAAAAGGAAAATAGGTTGCTATAAATTAAGAAGTTTTCCCAATTAAATTATTCTTGGCAAAAACTAAAAAAATACACGAAGGTAAATTTTTGAATTCCTTCTAAAATTTCACATCATGTTTTACAAAATTTAATATTAGGCATAATTTGAATCATAGAATTGAAACATGGAAAAAAATTGCCATGTCATTTTAGAAAAAGTGTGATTTTGTGTCAAAATACCTATGTTAGAATGATGCTATATATAAATCTAATACAGTCATAAGTCTTTAATTCGGACGTCCATAATCCGGAATGATCTATGATCCGGACTCAAAGCTACAAACTTTCTGCACATGTGTATAATACCTTTACGCATGCACGTTTAATGTATAACGGACGGCATAAGCTAAGCTAAAATTATCTATTTCAGTTAATGTTGCAGATTGCATTGTTCCTTAATCTTCTAATTGGATCCAGCTTATTAGTTTTTGCAGACTGTAAGAACAGTTTTATATAAGTAAGCTTGAAGTTTTGATTATGTCAAAAAGAATTTCCGATTCTGGAACTACTAAAGGATCTACAAAGTGAAAGCATGTTTTGATATCCATCAAACAAAAAATGTTGAATTGCTGCAAAAAATGGAGAAAGGCATATCCTTTGTTTCTCTAACCATTCCGAAATCTGTTTATCAATTTCACGCTGCTCTGTGGGTGGTGAAACGTCGCGGTGCGCTATGAACTGGAAGTTGATCTGTCAGCACTATCCTTATCTTCAGGCCAGATGTTTTTATTTTATTCGGCTTATAATTCCTTACTAAATGTAGTATTTCATCTCGATGTACTCCATCTTTGATATGATTTAAATCAAATTCCTCGTCATTATAAATATCACGAATACACATCAAATAGTCTTCTAGTTGCAATTTTCTAATTTCGATTATGCGTAATATATGCTTTACG